CCAAGCTCTGGTCGCAAAAATTTTCAATGCACGAAAAGAGTGCGTGTTTTTGTGGCAAGAGAGGGGGAAAGGGGAGAGGTAAGGGTAGGCAAATGCGGGGAAAACGGCAGGGGGAGGATCAAGCAAGTCGCGCAATTCGCCATCAAGCGTGAAAACAAATTTACTTTAACGATTCAGGGAATAAGGCAGTGACTGTAAAGCTAACACCGAAAAAGGATATACCCTTTTTAAATATTTATGAAAATACTTAGAAAATATTATAAAATATACTATGAGTTATTTAAATATTTTGTAATCTATTTTATATTTTAGAATTATTTAAAATAATATTTTTAAATGATGTTCAAAGACTTTGTTTTGGGTGTTTCAAAATAAAATATTAAACTAGATTAAAAATATCAATAATAAATATCAATAATAAATATCAATAATAAATATAAAAATATCCCCCCTTTAAAGGAACATAATAACCCCTGGTTAGGGCACATCACCCTCAGTCTGTCTGTCTATTCGTCTGTTTGTATATAAATTAGAACACATCAAAAGTTTGTGACATTAAATTCGGGGAACCCCCAACCCCCAGGAGTCAATCCCAGTCCACGGACCTTACCTTATATCACACATGCCGTCACACACGCCAGCGATTGGGCCGCAGATAAATGTTTTAGCAGAAATGAGTCTGCGGCGGAGTCTGGGAAACGGGAATGCTGATGCCGATGACAGTAATGATGCTACGCGGGCGCGTGAATTCCGGGTCCGGGTCCAAGCTTCAACCTCAACCGCAACAACTACCTTAAGCGTGGTCTTACAGTCTTACCTTAGTAACCTGAAATCTTATTTAAAAAAAATGCTTAAACCTTAGAAAAATCTTCTTATTTTATTTAAGAAAAATTCCAAAAAAGTAGATTCGATTTTTGGAACTTTTCTTAAACAATTTTAAATCTTATAAATTAAGTTTATAGAAATATTGTATTAATTTCCAAGTTTTATATTAAATTAAGTGCATATATACATACTCGTTGTATGCAATTCTAGCAAATTACTTAAATTTTTGTATTTTCTACTTACATACCAAATTTCAAATCGATTGGTTAATTTTACTTACCGTTCGCTTGATGAAGGTCCCACTGTGCCACGCACACAGGTTGTGCCGCTAACCAGAACAAGGCGGTCACAATGAAGGTTGAAGGCTTGATTAAATGCTCGGTGTGTAAGGGTGTGTGTGTGTGTGCGAGCGTGAAAATACAATGACAACATCCCGAAAAAGGCGATTACACACACACATACACACCCGATTTTTGGGGGGCGATGCCTTCACGTATGCCATTGCGTTAGGTTACGTTACGCATACGCCGCGCGACCACTTGACTTTTTGCGGTCACGAATCCCAAATTCCTGGAATTTGCTCCTCTGACACTGAAATTAAAATGAAAAATAAAATAAATAAATAATATACATTTAAGGGGAAAATAAATGGTAGATTTTAAATTATAAAAAAAATATATTTTATGAGAAACTTAAAATTAAAAAAAATCAAGGATAAATAATAATAACAAATTAAAAATAATAAGTAAATAAGTAATAAATTAACTAATTAATAAAAATAAATAAATAAGTAAATAAAAAATAAATAAGTAAATAAATAAGTAAAAATACATAAATTACAAAATAAATAAATTAAAAAATAAATACATAAATATTTTTTATTTCCAGTAAATAATCCTGAATTTCTTCTCCACTGTCACATGTCCTTGCGCCATTTCCCTTCACTTTCCCTCCTCCTTTCATGTTCATTCTTATCGTTCATTTGGAGTCTGTCTGGCTTTTTTCTCTACTCTCCCTCCCCTATTTTTGGTTTTTCTTTTTTTTATATATGTATGTTCATATATGCTAACATTTTCCGAAAGGGAAAAAGGAAAAGTGGGGGCCGAGACTGAAGACTGTCAGCTGTTTGAAGGCTTCCACACACGTCGGCTGATATAATGCTAATGGAATGGAAGCTGTGCTATATGCTGTCTCCGATTATAATAGCGGATCCAGCAGCAAAGACCCGCAATGAGTCCCGCAAATGAGGGCAGCTAAATAAGCAATGAAAACACTGAGAAAAATATGGGAAATTTAATTTAAAATTGTTGAAAATTAAGAAGGCACTGGAAAAGGGTAAATGTTGCACTAGAAAATGTTGCTAAGCTTAGGCCATAAACATGTTGAGAAACATGCCATTCTTTAGAGCCTTATAATTCCCAACTCAATATTAGAAAGCTTCAAGAGCTAACTATTACTTGCATATCTTCATAAATTTTGTGCAAAAATCCAAGCTGAATAGACTTGTGTGAATTATATATTTAAAATTATTCTGTGTGCAGCAGCAATGTAAGGACCTTCGCGTCCTTCGCTTTCATAATGTAGTTTAACTCCCTTCGACAATTTCGGTGGGTGTGTGTGTGTGGGCGCGCGCCCCCTTTCGCCAATGAATATTAAAATATTTGTTGTTTCGTTCAAAAAAAACTTTTAATTGGATTGCAGCGTTTTTAATACTCTCATCCTCTCCCCTCACACCACTCTCCCTCTCTCTTTTACCCCTTTACGAGCATTTTTCGTCGCTGGTCACACAAAAATTGTGCACAAAACTGAAAAATCAATTAAAAAATGTTCGTTTGTCAGTTTGACGCGTTGATGTAATGAAATATGCAACAAAAGCGATAAAAAGTGAGCTGGTTTAAGTCCCCAAAATAATCGGAAAAGCCCAAGGCTTAAATGTTAAATGCCAACTTTCAAAGCCACTTTCAAGTGAACTCAATCAAAATAAAGAGAGAGAAGGGTATAAAAATACAACTAAGTTAAATTTTAATATATAAATAATAAGAAAAGATTACTTACTTAAAGAAGACTTTTGGGGTGTCCCGTAATTAAAATTATCCTTCCTGAAATAATTTCTATTTTAATAAAATAAAAGAAAGAATTAATAAGTTAATATTATATAAAATAAATAAAAGAATACATTACATTGAGGAATTCCTATAAATATTCATTAATTAATATATTTACTTTTTTAACAAAAATCAAAGACATAGAAGTTTTTCTGGTATGGTGGTCAGTTTTTATTAGATAAATTATACATTTTACTTTTTTTTTGTATTTTTTTCGTTTCCCTTTGGTTGTTGGTTTTTTTTTTGTTTTTTATAAATATTTGATCTACATATAGTTTACATATTCATTGTGTATATATATTTCATTTATAGCCATAGAACAATTATCACATCTTACATATGTATGTTGGCTACCCTTAAATGTATCCATTACATGTTTACTCATATGCATGTTTGTGTGTGTTAGGTGTGTGTGTGTGTGTTGTGTTGTGTTGTGTTGTGCATTTGGTAAAGAATGAATGAACTTTAAGGAGGGGTTTTGGGAGCATGCTATAAGCTCCTGGCTGCTGGTAGCCCATCTTCCATGTCCCATGTCCGGTAGTGCGAAAAACTTTCCACATTTCCCAAGTCATACCATTTTCTTTATATTTATTTTGTTTTTGTCGGTTTCTTTTGCCTTCTGATATTTCTCCCATCTTCTGGGTAATAATTAGAAGACGGCTGCATCGGAAAGTTTTGCTCATTTATATTGTATAAACATTGCCTTTGGCCAGTTCCGGATCCGCCACTGTATTCTTGGCCTTCCGGTGACTTTTGCCTCAACAAAAAAAATTTTAAAACAAAATTTAAGAATTTAAGTTTAAATACATTTTTGGAGTCTGAGTTCCCAAGTAATTATGATAATTAAGTTGATAAGGTTGCCCAGCAAAGACAATTTTTTAAATTAAAAATTATTTATATATATAAATGAAACAATAAAATATAGACAATATTACAGGCACATGTTTAATTTTTATAATTTTGGAATATGCCAGCTGGGAAATGGCCTATAAAATAGCTGAAATTGGCAATGCCACGGGCTTTTTCCTCATTTCCATTTAATTTTTGAAGGCGACGCTGAGAAGTATGCTACGCCAAGTTCAGTGCGTTCGTGCGTGTGTACGTGTGTGTGTACGTGTGTGTGTTTGTCATAGCCATATGGCCTCTCTCTCTCTGTGTATGTGAGTGTGTAAGCGGCTTTGTGTTAAACGTTTTAGCCTGGCGGCGCTGTCAGTCGGCAAATTTCAAAGGTTGGCCAAGACACCAACAAGGGCAAAGGGCACAAAAGTACACACACACACACAAAGGAAAAGGCAAAGGAAAAGGCAAAGGCAAAGGAAAGGGCAAAAGAAAAGGCAAAAGAAAAAAAAGGAAAAGGCGCAGGCACCGGCACGGAATTGGTAAATGCATTAGTTATTTAAAGAGTGAAAACATTTGTTTTGGCCTGTTGCCCTCTCACGCTTTCCGTTTCTGGCCAACAACAAGGCTGTTTGTTGCCGCCGGAAACGATGACGATGATAATGGTAATGGCCATGCTAATGGCAATGCAGATGCCGATGCTACAGTTGAGCCTCTAAAGCTTGAAACGGTAAAAGTGAAATGAATATTAAACTAAGTCAACTTTAAAAAACATTTGAGGGTAAATTATAAACAAAAAAGAAATGCTAACTTCGGTAAGCCTATGCTTGTCCTATTATTCTTATTTTTTAAATAATACAAAGTAATAATTTAAAAAACTCAAGTTGAACCGCCTTTTTTAATTATTATCTTATATTATTTAAATGATAATTTAACAAAAAAAAAAATTTAAATAGCAAATAATAAAAATAAATAATATAAAAAATATAAATAAACATAAAAAAATTAGTAATGATAAAAGATGAATTTTCTTTAACTTGACCTATAATAAATATATAATTAACTATTTATTGTTTGTGATTGCGTTATTAATTATTAAAAAAACCTTTTGTTTCTTTAAATAATATTAAAAAACCTTATTTACCCCCCTAATAATATTAAAATATAACAACTAACCCTAAGAATATTAAAATATCATACTTTTTAAATAAAAAAATATTAATTCAATTAATAAATATTGATCTTTGAAGTGTTTGTGTGAGTGTTTTACGAATCAATTTTACTGTAAACCCATACCTGTCTGTGTGTGTGTGAGTGGTGTGCAGGTGTGTGTGGCTGTGTGCAATTGGGTGATTCCAGAAGGAAACTACGATTATGCCGCCCATTTAGTAGATGCACTCCCCGAGCAGATCGCACTCGCCCTTCTCCAGCGGCTTGAGCCACAGCGGATTGTAGTTGGGGCACAGCTTCCGATGGATGGGTATGCGGATCTGGACTGGCGTTGTCGCCACGCCCTCCCATCCGGCGTGGCTGTCGTCCGACCGCTCGAAGCGGGTGCCATCCGACCTGTTGCACTGCATGCTGAGGGGCTCCTGGACGTACATTGTGTACAGCTGATCGATGCGCGGCTGACTCCACTGGATGCTCCGGTAGTTGGCCGACCTGGCGCCATTCAAATGGACGCCGTACTGGTGCTCGGTGCTGGAGAAAATATAAAGAAAACGAGTATTTAAAAAAGCACCAGAAAAATACTCAAATTAAATATTTATATATTTGAAATAGGAAAATGTAGAAAATAAATATTTTAAATACATCAGAAAAATATAGAAAATAAAAAAACCTCAGGAAAATATTGAAAATTACTATTTAAAATATATCAGAAAAATATAGAGAGTTATTAATTAATATAAATAGGGAAATATACAAAATAAATATTTAAAAGGGAGTTAATATTTAAAATACAATGGAAAAATATAGAAAATAAGCATATAAAAATATTCAAATTAAATATTTAAAATACATTAAGAAAATATAGAAAATAAACTTTGAAAATATACATACAAAGCAATAAAATCAATAAATATATCGATGGGCGTATACTTTATGACTTATTTATTTTATTTATATATTTTTTATATATTATACAAGAAGACTATATTATTTTATCAGAGACTCATCTATGCCATATCGAATTTTGAAGAAAATAAAGCTAAGAATGTTACCAACTCAAAGAATTTGATATATTTGAAAATTAACCCTGTTTTAGAACATTTTCTCTAGGAATTCAGTTTTTTTAAAACTTCGTAATAGTACAAGTAGAAACCTGGCAGTCTTTGCTAAACTGTAATGCTTTTTTTTTTGCTAAAATGTGACTAATAGGTTTTTGAATAACCATAAAAAAAATCCTTTGAAAATGTTGATTTGGGCTTGATCGCTGAACCCTAAAAATTCCTAAAAGTCTTCTGATTTTGAGCTGCAAGCACTGACAACTGCGTATATATTCGGTTATCTTTTCTTGGATTTTCCTCGTGCTGTTTTTTTGCACTCTCCCTTTATTTCAACAATTATAACGCCCATGCACATTCATGGCATTCTATCCATCCGTCCCCGAGGGCGTTTTTGCGGCGTTAATGGAAGAAATATTTTTTAATCTACGCAGCGGAACCGACGACAGATGGGTCGCGGGCGGAGCTGGGTCTGGGGCAACCTTGGGCTGCCTGCGCGTCTCCTTGTGCATCAAAGGGAAACTTTTCGGCATTCCCTTTTCGGCGCCCAATTCCTTGGCGCATTCATAACGCCGAAATGCTCTTTGTTCCCGCTCATCCACGCTGGCACCCGGCTACCCTCGAAAAGGTGTTCGCTAATTGCCAACTTTAAGCAGCTGAGCATCGGGGAATGAACGGCAAAAGTTTGCATTAGATTAGGGCCGCCACAATGAGAGCCAAGAGCTCTAAGCTGGGACTGGATTCCAAAATGCGGCAGCAATTTCCGTGCCCCGCCAGCGGCGGCTGGCTTAGGCCAAAGTTCAACTTGTTTGTTGAGGTCACATTTTCCACTCAGTCCGACTTAAGTCATTATACTCGTTATACTTGGGGAATAGACCGTAAGCCACACAAGTAACAAGTTGTGGCCACTAATTGAAAATGGGTTTGAGGAGCGAGGAAATAAGTGGAAAAATAAAGAAATATCGGAAGGAAAACTAAACAAAATGAGCTTAAATTTAAAACAAAATTGCATAAAATTAATTAAATGCATTAATTAAGTTAAAAAAAAGAGTTAATCTATGATTTCTTTATATAAAAATATTGAATAGAAAACAAACTTTACTTTGATACGGCTTTAAAAATATTAGTTCCAATAAAACTAATTGGTTTCTTTGATTTTTTTTAATAATAAAAGGATTAAGAATATTTTTGAGGCGCAAGAACTTAAGGGAATGATAAATATAAGTATTTAAATGATTAAGAAATCTCTGTCTATATGAAAAAATGAATGAAATACAAATAGGGATGCAAAACTGAGTAAATGTATGTAACCTTCTAATGAAAATATCGATAAAACACAACTTAAATGGAAGTTCGATATATCTAAAATATAATTCCATAAAATGTAGAATTGTATTCAATGTAAGATCTAAGATACCAGAGATTTTTCTTTTTAATATTTAGGGATTAAAAATAGGTTTGAGAAGCATGGAACCCAGAGAAAAAGACAAATAAAGTTATTAAAACCCTTCAGAAATTTAAAAATAAAATCGATACAACAAAATGTAATATATCAAAATAAGAAAATTTATGAATTCAGGAAATTGAAAATATAAATAAAAAAAATAAGTTTAAATATAAATTTTAAATTAATATCCTAAATATACCTGAGAAATCTTTTAGATATCACTTTAATTTTAAATATACATGTTCGATAAATATGTGTTTGTTAACATATCTATAAATTAAATTGGTTCTTGGATAATTCTATTTTTTTTATAAGATTTTAAAGACAAATTCTAAACCCTCACCGTTTCATGTAGATAAAATAGTTCTCCAGCGTCTCCTCAGAGACGGAGCTCTTGCAGACCTCCAGCTTGGTAGCCGGATAGTAGTGGATATAGTTGACGCACATCTCGTCGCTGATGGAGAAGCCACCCAAGGCGGCGGTCTTGTCGCCCTTGGTGTTGTAGTAGCAAGTGGTAACCAAGGCGTCGCCCTGATCAAGGGGAACAAGAACAATAAATGGGATTTAATTATAATTATATAATTATAATATGTAATATATTAAATAAAATATAAAATAATAAATTAAACAGTTGCTTCCTTACCGGCAGAACGCGTGGCTTGTAGTGCAGCGTGCGCATCTCCTGGAAGTGATTCGAGTAGAAGTCATCCCGATTCACCTCGCGCAGCTCCTGGTCGCCGCGAAAGTGCCGGGTGAGCACCCGAACACCTCGCAGATGCGTATGCAGCTGGGAACCAAAGATGATGATCCCGGTGGCGGGCAGGGCGGCCTTGGTGCAGTCCGCCACACAGTAGCCGCTCAGCGGGAAGGCCGTCTGACCCGGTGGAATGGCCATCTTGTCGGTATACTCTAGACCCAGTTCCATAACGGCGGCATCGTATTGCCTTAGCACCTTGGACATCTTGATGCGAAAACCCGAGTTGTCCACGAGGCCTGATCATCACAATGAAGTTATCACTTGGCCAAATCCCCTGGGTAATCCCTCCATCCCTCACTTACCCGCCTTCATCTCCGGATTATTAAAATGCACTTCCAGGCGTACGTAGGGATTAAAGCCTGGCCCGCCAATGGGTAGTCCTGCCTCTGGTGGATACGTAAAAGTGCTGGCACCCATGGCCCAGAGTGCCATTACCTTGGAACAGACCTTGGCCTTGGCGGGCAGCTTCTCACAGTCGCCATTATACAGTGGTATCTCCTCGTGTTCGCCGGCTTCGCAGTGGAAAACCTCCATGTGATGGATAATCCCAGGCGTACGGATCAAAGGCTCAAACTGAACAATGTGATGTCGATGATGGATAACACTGTCCAAACGTTGAACGTGGCACCAGTAGGTGGTCTCCTTGTTGGGAATGGGTGCTTCCTTTAGAGTGATTTCTACTTGATCCAAATCGCTGGGGAAAGGAAATTAAATGGAGACACCACATGGCGTATGAGTAATTTCTTAGCTTTGATATTAAGTATACGCCATGTTTTCAGTCTAGATAAAAAACTTACCTCTCCGGAATGAGTATCTTGTCGGCCCGTAGCAACTGCAACATCTTGACACCCGCCTCATGTGGTGCCGTCACATTGGGCAGCGGAAACTGATGATCCTCCAGGGCCAGCTCCGTTTCGCCGCGGGCCCAGGCCACGTACATGGTACCCTCCTGGAAAAAGGATAAAACAAAAAAAATATACAGAAATATAGCAAGAAGCAGGAGAGGATTAGATCAGGAGACTTCTTTACTTACATGCAATCGCAAATCCAACGGATCGCAGGTATCAAACTTCCGCTTAAAGGCCAGCGTAAATTCATCCATCTTAAAGACCTCGCAGTCCTGCTGATAATCCCTGCGCACCCACTTGCCATCCGGACTGGTGTACGTGTCGGTTACCGCATTGAAGAATCCATTTTGATTCTCAAAGAAACAAATATCCGCATCGGCCAGGCCGCCGCGCTTGGAGAAGCCCAGATAGAACCAGCGATGCTGCTCATTGAAGGCATTCTGCAGATGGAAGAGAACCTCCTGCTTGTACCAGTCCACCATCCAGCTGAGCTTGATCTCTTTGTCGTCCAGGTAGATCTCGTGCAGCTTTGTGTCCGAGAGTCCTGGGGAAATATATATTTAAAAAATTTATTGATTAATTATTAAAACAAAAAAAAATTTTAAATAAATTTAAATTAAATTATTAGTTAATTAATTAATTAAAGTAATAATTAATTTAATTTAATCGAACCGCTTAAATATTATTTATTCTGTACTAAATTGAATAAGTTAAAAATTAAACTTAGTTTTTCTAGGAATTCCCCTTTGGAACTAAGCTTAATTAATTAATTAGAGTGTCACAGATACTATTGATTAAGTAATAATTTTAATAAGTAAAAAATTAAGCTTCGTTTTTTTTAAATCCTCTTGTTGACTAGGCTTGTATATTTAATTAATTAATTTATTAATAAGTTTATCAATTAATTAATTAGAGTGTCACAGATTGAATTGGGCCACCTTTGATTACCTTAACCGCCCAGGGTTAGCCTTTTTTTTTGTATCGTTGTCATTCGACATTATTCTTGGGGGCAGGTCCTGCTCCTGGGACAGGCCAAGTTATTACCGGCCATTAAGCCCGGCTCGTCTACTTTGGTTACCAAATCCCAATCCCGGCCACTGGTCCTCGCGGATACGGATCCGTGGAGATGGCGCGCGATAATCAAGTTGCCTTGCACTAATTACACAAAATAAAAGCAAGCCAGGTGACTTTCATTCATCACCTGTCCCTCATAAACCTCTCTTGCTACACATACACTGACCAAAAAAAGGTAGCTTAAAGTAATTATTTGATGTTTAATCAAAAAAATAAATAAAGAACACATAATTACACATATTTAATTATTTTTTTTAAATTTTATTTTTGAAAAAAATAAAATAAATTTTGCTTTTATTCTTTTTATCAATTATTGTTGAAAAAATAAAAAATTCAGCTGAAAATACATTAAATTCAATTCGAAAAACGGTGTTGTCTTAGTTTTTATAAGACTTATAATTCTGCATATTAAATTTGAAGGTTTTTTAAATCAAATTTTATTCAATTTTTTATAATTTTAACGATAAAATTATAAATTATAAAATTTAGAAAAAATTAAACAAAAATTGTTTTCTTGCAGACATGCCTAAATCGCTTCAGCTGTTGAAGCTGATCAAAAATATATATATTGTTTATAGGGTCGGAAATGACTCCTAGCTTCCGACGGAAATTATATTAACCATCAAAGTTATAATAATAAAATTAATTTTTTATAATATTTTAAAATATATTAAATTCAATTTTAAAATATATCTTAGTTTTTTATACTTAAACCTCTTTTTTGAGCAACTTAAAACGATTTTTCATTAACAAAAAAAGGAAGAAAGAAATTCATTAAATTTGCTTTGCAATAAAAATTGTTAAATTAAATTAAATTAAATTAAATTCTCTCTCTGTTTCTGGTAGTCGCATAGCACAGACACTTGGCCAACTTGGTCCGCGCGAATATGGTGAAAGGGAAAATGGGGGAAAGGGGGACAAGGGGGTCAGAGGACGGCGTGGATTTATGTTGGCAGGGAAGTTGCTCCAAACGGCAGCACATCAGGCACATCAATTACAGCAACAATATCAGGCGGCCAACAACAGCAATCGTGGATCCAGTGGAGCGGCAGTAACGAGAGCGAAAGAAAACCCAATAAAATGTCAAATCCAATTGGCAAACACACGCCGAGATCGAGGACATGGACGTGGACGTGGACATGGAGGAGAAGGGGAAGGAGAAAGAGGTCCAGGGCCAGGAGGTGGACGTAAGCGTGGACCGGGATGTGGCTGTGGCTTTACAGAGCCCAGTTCGTAAAGTATATCAAACTGTTTGCCAGTAAGCAAAGACACTTGTAAAAAATATTTATATAATAAATAAATAGTAAATAAGTAAAAGAAAAATTATTTATAATTCTTAGAATCTCTATGCGGCAGATTATCAACAACAAACCAGCCCTTAAGAAACTCTTCCCTAAACAGAAGAGAGCAAATCATCATCACCCGACTCAGACTTGGACACACATACTTAACAAACGCTCACTATATTGACAAAACAAAAAACAACCTGTGTCCAATGTGCAACAATGCCGAAGTAAATCTTCGACATATCATTTGCACTTGCCCTGCCATTACCACACAACGTTCCTTACTCCTCCACAACCCTGACCCTATCTCCACAATAGCCAACCCCTCAAATAAAAACTCCAAAAACATCCTCAAGTTCCTAGACAACTGTAAAATTACCTACAAAATATGAAGCCGCTGTAAATATAAATTATGTATGATTCCACCTATGTATGTATGTTTATGTTATTCTTTTGTAAATATCTATTCATTGTATCAATGTAATTAATGTAAATACAACTAAACCAACACAAACCGCGAGCCAAAGGCCTTAGATGCTATGGCTCTTTACCCATAGTTAGCTCTTAGTTTAATACTATTTGTTAGCTTTAGATAAATAAAATAAATATTCAATGTCTAAGCTTATTTAGTAAAAAGTGTTGCCTACTTTTAGACAGCTTTGAAAGTGTTTTCAAATCCCTATGCAATTTTTAGGTCTTTTTTTATGTTTTGTTTTTACCGACTAACAGTGTTTTATTGTTTTCTCTCTATGTTTTGTATAAGGTTATTTTATATGATATATTTTCATTTTTAACCCATAATTACTTTCAGTGCACCTAGATGAAGATACAAAAGCCGAGAGCGAAAGCGAGAGCGAGAAAGCGACAATAAAAACACTGGATTACAATCAAAAGTGACAGGGGGGGAGGCTACCGTGGTTTCTCTTTCCTTTTTTTTAGCACAGGGAGTGGGTTGAGTGGGTTCGGTGGAAGAGGAGTCTACCTAGCCTCCCTTCTCCTACGATTCCGGGCAATGGTGCGTTGATGAATTTCGCTTTCCGGACCAGAGCAGTTCAATCAAGTTCAGCGGAAGTAATATGCCCCAAACGAGTTTTGGGTCGAAAGTCCCTATCCCTACCTTCCGCTTGTGTGTTGTGTGTGAGAGTGTGTGTGTGCTAGCCACTAAAATTGATTTGTTACCGTACATATGTCTCACTTCACTTTTACAAGCGGCACGGACGCACACAGGAGACCGCAGGACCACAGGACCTGCAGCCACTCCTCCCCCCACTTTCTCCCACACATCCACTTGCCGCCACCGCTTTCTCCGGTGAAAGTTTGGTAACACGGAACAAATCGGTGTGTGCTTGTTCCGCTGCCATTTCGCAATTGTTCCGCTTGCGACGCGAATCGAAATCGAATTTCGAAACCAATTCGAAAATGAGGTCACAAACTCATAATTGACTCGGTTGATCGGTAATTATATTTGCGAATGTCGTTTTTTTCCGGTCTTTTGGGGTTTCCCGGTTATCCGGTTTTCCTGTTATTCGGTTTGACAATATAGAACTCATGTACGTAGTTCCTTTTCTGCGAATCCAAGCTAAGCCCAGAGCTCGTAGCTTCTTGGAATTCCACATGGGCCACCTCCTCATCCCCACTACCCCCTCTGGCATTTAAACAGCCGTATTATACGGGTAAATATAGCCGTATCCATCTACCTAAGTAATTCAATTTGTATCGCCTTCGAGTTCGAGGGTCAGACGACCATGGGAGTTCATTGTAGATTCAGTTGGGGGAACTGCTGCCCGAGTTGATTTCATTTCGCATTGATTGGGCCCGTCAGCAGTGCTGGCTATTTATCGACTATATATTTCTCCTTAAAAATATATTGTAAATATGGATTCCCAGCTTAATTATTGATACTAAATGGTTTCGGAATAATTTAATAATAAATACTTATAGTCTCACAAGCTAAAAGGTTTGTCTTTTGCAGAGAAAGTTTTCTTTTTGCTTTGAAAAGAAATCTAATTTGTTGGCCAGCACTGAGTCCTCCTCACATGCCCTGAGCTTTACACTTTTCCTCCGTCTTTTTTGGCAATTTGGTTCCCGGCAAACAATATAGCAGGTATAAAGAGTATGAGAGTGTGATAAAATTTAATAAACTTGAAGTTTATTGCATTCGCCCCACTGCGTGCTGCTTCACCTCATTCGCCTCCTCCTCCTTTTCCCCTTGGTGCCTTCCCAATCGAGAAGTTTTCCGATTTTTCTTGGCCGCTTGAACTTGAAATGCCATTTGGACGCAGATCCGTGTCATTGGAAGGGGGAGGGATTTTAGAGAGAGGACTCCAGACTCTAAAGGGAATCCTTCGCATAGTTTTGCGTTCTCGATGACGGGAATGATAAGGATGTTGGCGCGGAAATGCCAAAGCGCACAGGAATTTTCTTATTATTTACTGGAGATGCGAGAACGAAGCGGCGGCACTCGAAGGCATGTCCAATTTACCGCCACCCACCAGTCACTGTGAATCCAATGGATTCATTCCCTAAGAAACCCATACCAATACTTAGGCCCCCAAAGGGGACAGATCCTCAAGCTGCACTGGGAAATGGCTTCATCAATTCATTGACAAATTCGAATGCCATTTGTCACGAATTCAATAAGGAATTAGGACGGGATAAAGCTATGCATAACAAAGGAAGAACAATTTGTTGGATATTAAAAGATATTTTGAGCCATTAATCATTTATATTTGAATCTTTAATTTATTTATATACCATATTAAATTAGAGTTGGTTTCAGAGATGAAGTAAAGAATGATTAATTAATTTATTGACTAATTTTTATTGGTGAATTCATGTTAAATAAATTTGTTTAAACAAATTCAAAGATTAATTATTATTGGAGTCTAAAATGATCAACTAATCAACTCTTCTATATTTTAATTGAAAGTTTTCTTGTGACTTTATTTGTTGGTGCTAGTTTGTTGGTATTAATTTTTATTAGTGAATTATTGTTGGTGAATTTTTCATTGGTGAATGCATTTTTATTGATAAATAATTATTTGTGAATTTGTTTTGGTAAATTTATGGATTATTAATTACATTTTATTGATTTAAATTATATTTTCTTGATTCTTGTAGCTTAATTGGTGTATACATATATAACGTTGCGTTGTTGAATGATTTATGAATATATGTTAATTTT